ATTTGATAAAAAGTAGTTTGAAGTCTTAATCATGCAGATTGATAGAAGAAAAATACTAAGATACAATTAGGCAATAAGCCTTTAAAAAACCCACACAGGCTCAAGTCAGCCAAGCTTTTTTAATCTGATCATGCTTTCCTGCCTTCCTTTTTTGATGGTGCCTACTCTTGATGCTTCTCCATGATGTATTTCGTTAGCCAGGACTAAGAAAATAGAACAGAGTATCAGAGGATTATTTGGTTTTATCGAAACAAGCACAGTTCTCCTCCACAGGCCAGTACTGGAGTACTACTTGCCTGCCACTTTTTGTATGGATGGGAACCAGTTAACAGCATTAGCAGTTGTAACCCATGTTGTGACTCATGTTCCAGTCAGAAAAATCCCCATTAAGACCCCAATCCTAAATAGTTTTCTGGAGGTATTCTGCAGTTCAGAGTTGCATAGGCTGTAGACAATACAAACTTTCTCAGTTTCCCAAACAGCATTAAGATTTAATATGCTGTTAAGAGCCTCTCTTATATAATTTGTTTACATATAAAATTGAGAGAATGTAAGTATGCAATTTTAGAGAAATATTGCCACCCATTTTGCAGGTGGAGAAACAGCTGAAGCAAGAAATCTGTTGCCACACTCACCCCCCCTCCAACTGACACAGCATTCAGCATCATGGCAAACGTTTTCTGACTTGCATATAAATTAAAAAGCAATTCTAAAGTCTTTAAATTACCATCTTTCGCAACACTGTAAAGTCTTCCTCAATTTCACAATTTCACTTTTCACATTTTAAAAGTGCTTGCAATACTTTACTTCCAGTACTGCAAAAGCATAGGAGAACCCTGCGCTGCACACAGATTATTTCAGTATTGTTATCAAACCGTAACTCTTAGCACAGACTTTCCAGCCGCCTCCCGTGTGTTGCCATGATAATTTTGCCTAAATTACCTTGCCTTAACTTGCTTACAAACGCACAATACCTGACTTTGGGTAGCAAGACTCATTAACATCAAACTTTCATTTAGTTAGGCTTCTACAATTGTACCGAAAAATAGTTTCAAATTGCACGAGGAGGAGGAGAACTCTATCCATAAGTATTACTGATAATTACCCCAACACTTGAAAGGGGGAACGCAGCATAAGCATTCTTCTTCCTTCTAGTACAAGCAAGGAAGTACCACCTAGATTTTATCATTTCTGCTTTAAAAAAACCCACACTATTGGACTAAAGTGAACTAACCTTCCCTTCTAGTCAACAGCCACTAACCAGCTATCAGAAGGGTATCTATTTAAGCACTGGATGAACTTTATCATAAAAGGACTACTTAATTCCATTACAACAGTTCAAACTTTAGAGAAAAGCATTTATTACGAGAGAAAACTGCACATGAAAGCTGAAGACACTTAAGAGACTTATTTAAACAAATAATACCTCTATCCATCACCCTGTGCTCTGCCTGATTTACATATATATAGCTTTTAAAATATCACTGCTTCTTTTTAAGCTGCAAGTGCCTCCAGGGAGGGAGGTTGCCAATCCTATGATTCTGCACAGAACTCCAATTATTAAGGTATAAAATACTTGGAAGAATGAGGATTCCTTTATGATGACGATTACTAAATATATACTCCTGGCCAACAGAAAAGCTATATCCCTGCACGGCACTTTCATTTTTCTGAGATGGGTTCTTAGTAAGAACATCCCAAGCGTGTATATGCACGTCCCCTCCTCTGAACAGCTTTCAGACTCTCTGGTCAGTGTGCGCAGGAGTTGACAGGGACAAAATTCTCAGGGGATCTCGCTCCTTGCCAGGTTTTGCTCCTTAGCAGTGTCCTGTTTTCAGGAGACTCAGCACCAGCCCTTACTGGAGGGAACGGCTGCAGCAAACACTTACTAGTTATTTAGATACCAAAGAGTCAACACTGAAAGGATCTGCTGCAGGTTTTCTCCACAGAGGGGGCAATTCAGAACAAAGCTTACCGCAGCTATAGGACAAGCCTGCAGCAAGCCAGGCTCCTAGAAGTCATGGAATAACTTCTTCGTAATGAAAAATAATCACTACTTTAAGCACTAGTTTCAGGTACTCAGAGGAAAATTAAAATGGGCCCAGATGAATTCACATGGTTGTGCTACAGAAAGGAAAAAAGTGATTCACAAAAATACAGTGAAGGTTATATGAAGAATACTACTTGTGAAATAATGAGAAGGGCGCATACAAAGGTAATAGGGTAGTTTGTTTCTAACTGGTAGATAT